CATATTATTGTATCACATAAAATGATACTTCACATGATTAATTTCTTCTCACTTCTTTCTTCTAATATTTTTCTTCTCACTCCTTATATGGCCTAAAAAAGTATAATAAAATTTATGAAATTGAATCGTAAATACGCAATAAAATAAAGATTTGGAACTGATTTGAAGTAATCTTCTATATAAAAAAAGTGTCCAGTATTCACTTTTATTATTAAATGAAATACAAATTATTTATATAAATTAAATTTAATTTTAGATCTTGAAATCATAATTTTTAGTTTTCCCATCTCCTGATATTTTTAACTGATCCTGCATTTTACACAATACAAAATGATATTGAGATCATGTATATTTTCCAATTAAATACTACAATCATAATTACAATAGCTAAAATCTCAAAATTATATCATGATAACCTCGCCCTTTTTTTTTGTTCATTCAATGTGTATCACCTACTTTTTTGAGCAAGAAAGTTGCTCCACATTTTTTATTCATTCATATTTTCTCGATATATATCACCTACTTTGAAACAAAAAGGTTGTTCCACTTTTTTTTTTGCTCATATTTTTTTTTATATTATGATGACTAAACGTAAATCACCTAATAAATCGTCTGATGATAATCAAAAAATGGAAGTTGAAGGAGGTATGTAGATATAACTCTTTTGTAAATTTATAGTAAGATTTGTTATATAGTTATATGTAAGAAGAATAATTAATAAATACCAAAAATATGTATAATAGGATCGAAAAGAAAACAAATTACGAAAAAAAGAAGAGATATTGACATTGAGAAAGCCAATCAGTTGATGAAAAAAAGCAAAAACTATAGTAATAAAGAAGCTGCTGAATCTGCCGATAAAAAAGTTATAGTAGTAAATGAAAAAAGAAGTAATGATGATGATGATGATGATGATGATGCGAGTAAGACGGAAGATCATAAAAAACCCGAAGTATTTCAATCAAAGTCAAATTTAGAAATAGTTGCTTGGCTCGTCGACTATCCGGAAATTTTAAGATTAGCACTAGAAATGAACAATACGGATGTTGCTATCTCATCATCCAGTAAAATTACGGACGTAAGTATTAAATTAACATGATAATATTTATTTGTCTAAATCTTTTAAATAATGTATTTTTAATATTTTAGGATAAAATTCGTCTATAAGACAAAAGTGTCAAGTGTCTTTTTTTATGTGCGAGAAGTCCACGTGGTGAAGTTTTTGATGAGTTGATAAAAAAAATTTTCAAAATAAAAATACATTTGAACGAAGCTAAAAGCTACCTCAAAAAAACCCAAAAATTTTTTATCGACTTCAGAAATAAGTTTAACCAAATTATTTTAACTTCTGTAGAAGAATTTAAAGAAATAAGAAAAAACAGGTATTTATTTAATTGTTTTCTAGCTAACCAAATAGTGCTGTTTGTATTAATTATTAATTTAATTATAGAGCATCTACTGGAAGTTTATCTCAAAAGGAACTTATAGATTACGTTAATGAAGAATTTGTTCAAAAGATTTTAAGCCGACAGCTTGTAGCTGTTAATATTTCAGAATTAACAAGAAATGGAGGGTTCGATATCTTGGTTGATTTCGTAAAAGAAACCTTTAAGGTTTTGTGGAACAGAAAAAATTTGTCTGCTATTAAAGAATTAGATAATATAACCAAAGAATTAACGATCCCTTCTAGGAGCGAAAACAAGATCGTTGATTCTTTATCGGTAAGTTATTTTATTTATACTGATACTTCATATCCTTTAATCATAGTTATTAATAATAATATTAAATTATACATAGTTATAAATCTTAGCAAACGCTCTGATTTTTTTATAAAATTATGCATTTTATAACGATATTACATTGAATAAATTTAGTAAATTTTACAAGTAAATGATAATATGAAACATCATTATTCTAAACATTATACCATAATGTCGAGTGATAATAATATAAAATAAAATGGATGTATAAAACTATAAAATGTTTGTCTAAGATAT